TTTCTTAATCTTTTTTTCTCCCTTCTGGATACTTCCCCAATAAGCTTAATTTTGCCTTGTTTTTTTCGCTCATAATATCTTTCTCTTTCCCGTTGCTTTGCTTTTTCATATTGCTCTGGATTGCTTCTTACTTTCTCTCTACGTCTGCGTTCACAATCTCTTTTTTGCTGCCTTCGCTTCTCTAAGTCTACCTTTGGCTTCGCCATATTTTTGCTAAAACAAAAAACCTATTAAACCACATGATTAGCATAGTCTTATAAATAATTTAAATTAAAGCGTATTCTTCTAAGGTTGAAAAACAATTACTTTTTCTACTCCATGGACACCAATCTGCTCCATGGACATACAAAAGTCCATGGAGCGGAAGTCCAGGGAGTGGATTTTTTTTGGAAAACAATAGCTTTACACTCGCAAAACAAAAAACACAAACTAATTTGTACATGAAATTAAAATGCCAATAAATGGTCACCTAACCGCAATATTTTTATTTAAATTTTACTTGTTCAAATCATTTTAAAAGCCCCCATGGAGTGGAAAACAATAAAAATACGCACCTGCCAGCGCTCACTTTGACTGTCACTACCACTAATCTGCACAAAATTGGGCGATGCTTGCATGTCGAGCGACAAAACTAGACTGAAGCACGAGTACCGAGGGGCCTTCGCGCGCTTAAAGATGCAATACCAACCATAAGGAGCTAAATTCCCCTAGGTCCACGGAGTGGAACTCAAATGTGGTTACACACCTATTTACATAATTTTTAATGATTATTTTTAGTAATTATTTTATTTTGGCTATAGCATTATTATTATTGACATTTAATCTTTTGACAAAAACCATTGTTGTAACCCGAAACTATGTAGAGTTTCTGAAATAAAGCAATATCTTAGGCAAAACGTGTTGGTTACAGTCCATGGAGTGGAATTTTGGTACTTTTGGACAGTTTTAAAAATATTTTTAAAGTCAAATTTAAAAGTTTAATAAGTGATCCTAACAAAAGGTATTTCATTTTATTGCCTAAGCATGTTAGATAACTAGAGCGTACTCTTGTTTTAGTAATTTTGGATGGTTACATCAAATTGTCCCAAATTTTGAGAATCACCCATATGTAAAGTGATGGAGAGGTGCATAAATCGTGAGCTTCTGGACTACCTCGAACGTCACAGCTTGATTAGCGACAGGCAGTACGGTTTCCGGCTCCAAAGATCCACAGGGGACCTCCTAGCTTACGTCACGCAACTGTGGAGTAAACTCATCCAGTCTCATGGTGAGGCTCATGTCGTTGCTCTTGACATCAAGAAAGCGTTCGATCAGCTGTGGCACGCTGCCCTCTTAAGCAAACTTCCATCCTAAGGCCTCCCAGAAAAGCTTTGCAGATGGGTGGCTGACTTTATCTCTGGCCGCAAGATATCCGTGGTAATTGACGGATTCTCCTCTTCATCCCACAACGTCAACGCGGGTGTTCCCCAGGGATCGGTCTTGGCTCCAACACTGTTTCTCTTACATATCAACGACCTCCTTTCCTGCACGGCCAACCCAATCCACAGCTTCGCTGATGACAGCACTCTACATGCAGGAATTCAGAGTGACAAGCCGATCTCTGCCGCTGAGCTGGAAAAAAGAAGACTAGCGTCGTCTTTTTCTCTGACAAGAGACCTGGAGGCTATCACTGCTTGGGAACGCAACAATCTTGTACAGTTCAATGCTTCCAAAACACAGTACTGTACTCTGACGAACAAAAAGCGTCCTAGCGCTCATACAGTTTCGATGGACGGCCGAGTTGTACCAAAGAGCCATTCATTTCGGCTGGTCGGAGTACAATCACCGAGGACCTGATCTGGCACGAACACATCTCTTCAATAGCTGCAGCAGTTGGGAAAAAGCTAGGCTATTTGTTTGGGGCTAAGAAGTACTTTTATCCGCATGAGCTTCTCACTCTATATAAGGCCCAGATAAGGCCTAGCCTCGAGTATTGCTCACACATTTGGGATGCTGCCGCCCCGACTACATTGTCCATGCTCGATGCTGTCCAGAGGAGGGCGGTCCGACTGATCGATGACTCTTCTCTAACAGACAGTTTCGGGACTCTTTCGCACCGGCGGGCCATCGGTGATCTAGCTCTTTTCTATCGCTACACCGACGGGCTTTGCTCCTCAGGCTCTCTTCCATGATGCCGCCGCGCGATGTGCCTGCCAGACAGACCCGCCTGACTTCGGCGTCCCATCCTGACCATGTCAAACTTCGTACATCCAGAACTGGCGGATACGACCGCTCCTTTGTCCCGAGGGTGTCTAGATTGTGGAACAATCTACAAGAGGAGGCTTTTCCCAGTTCTACTAACCTTAGGCAGTTCAAAAATCGTATTAACCAAATTTCTTTGGGATCATCATAGCAGCCGCGGTGTTCGGGCATTTAGGCTTCTGCCTGCGCGGCTGTTTCAATATAAAAAAAAAGTGTCACCGCTGCCAAAGATATGGTCATGCGCAGTCTTACTGCACAGCACCTACCAACTGTTTAAAATGTGCTTCCGACCACATGACACATTTATGCCCCCTCACAGGACAAGAGGAGCGAAAGTGTGCGAACTGTGGAGGGGCGCATCCCGCTAACAGCCCCACTTGCAGATTCACCCCCAGGCGAAATCTGGAAGTCATAGCGCAAAGACGCAGCAAGTCATACGCGGAAGCAGCCGTCTCAACATCTTGTTCAACCCACTTTGAATACGCAGAATGTGGACCTTGCAACTGCGCTTAGGTCCCTTCAACAAATAATACGTCCGCAGATTAGCGCCACTAAGGCATTGCAGGCCATCTTTCCGCAGCCAATGAATGGCTAAGTACAATAGACAACCTGCATCTATCATCTGTCAGGTATCTTGGAATCATCATTGACTGGCAGAAACATACTGATATCTTGAAAACAAAATTCCAAATTATCTTTCGGCAACTTTATCCTCAGTTGTGAAGAAATTCAAAATTAAGTTTGATCAACAAGATTCGGTTGTATAAAATGGTCAAAGACCCAAAATCACCTATGCATGCGCGGCTTGGTGTTTTCTTGCCAAGACGCACATGCAGAGACTGCAAGTCCTGCAAAACAGAACCCTACGCACAATTACTAACGCCCCTTGGTACGTGTCAAATGAGACTATTCACAGAGATCTTGATATCCTATATTTAAGGGATTACGTGAAACAACAGACGCAGTGGCGTTATAATCAAGCGGAATCGCACAGCAACCCTCTGTTGCGTGATTCAGTAGACTACACAGTCGAGCAAGTTCGCAAACATTCCAGGCCGCGCCTCGCACTGTGATCAAAACTAAATTGTAAATTCAGACCAGCCAAAACTATTTCATTATACAAAACCGATCAAAATTATTTTTTGGACTTATTAAATAATTCGAGTAGTCAAATCAATAATGCTTAAGCTATTTCAAATGATTTACTTCTTTTCTTTGCTCTATTTCTTCCTTCCTTTCTTTCCTTCTTTCCCTTTTCCCCTTAAACATGTTTGGTATCTGGGTAGCCAGACCTGACAGACTAACAGACCGACGAGACTTTTAACTAAGAGCAAAGGTCCACCGGACCGCTCTGACGAATAATGAGAAATAGTAATATAACCCTGACGGATCGAAGAAGGCTCGTCTCCACGTATACTCGGACAGCGAAAAACTCAGATTATCTTTAGCTAATTTACCGACAATGTGGTCCGCTATGCGGTTTTTGACGTAAACAAAGTGATCCTCTGGCTGCTCGGCAGCCAAGTAGCAGATTTTCCAGATACCACCAGATAATGCTCTACACACTTTGCCACATCCACGCTGGTTACCATTAAGGTGATATATCGTGTCAATATGTTTAAATCGATGGTCGCCGTTGAGTCTCATTCTCAGAAGAACTGTTTAATTGGTGATTTTGAGGTAGTGGTTCGGTTCGGAAGATGAGCTTGAAAGGAGAAATTTTCAGATGGCCGAATGCGATAACACTTTTTTACGTTCAAATATGTTGCGCTTGGAAAGTGTCCCACCTGTGCCTAATCACTCAGGCGTGATGGCGTGGGATGTATTGACTGTCATTTGAATATGGACTAACTTAACAGCAATAAATGCTGCTATCGTCACAGTCCCAGTAAATTACTCGTAACTTTGAATGAGAGTTTATGATTGTATTACCTCAAGCTTGTGAAGATGTTGAAGGGAAATTTATTACAATTCCATAAAGACATAAGGATTCTAATAAATAATAAAAACTAGGGTCGAGTGATGTGGTTCAGCACTTCCCACGTGTTCTTGTAAGTCGGTCTATATCAATTTAAGGAAGTAAATCCACTGAAATCGCATTCCGCTCCAGTAGGTCTAGAATTTTATCCAAACTACCAAAAATCGAGGCTATGTTTTGTTCCACAGTGCTAAAGATATAAAAAAGTTTTGAATAATAAGCTTTAATCCTATAATTTTTTAGTAACACAGTTTTTACGAATTTCGATCAAATAAAAAATTATACCCCCTTAACCTCCTCAAATAATTTGATGGTTTGAAAAATGAAATTGCCACGAAGTATTTTTGCCATAAATTTATAAATGAGGATTGTATTGTACTCATCTCCATATTACTTCCTTCATGGCTGCGTGATTTTATCTTAAAGACAGACTGCTTTGTTATAACAATCTAGACCACAAACAATCAGTCATTAGATCTCACAATTGGACTTAAAGTTATGAGCAGTAGTGTATTAAATCTAATACTATTCCACTAATTAAGACATCAAGCCAACATTCATAACCCAGTCCACTTTTATCAACGAGCTGGTCATGATTTGTTTATGTTCTAATGTTTATTACGTATGGCTTGATTATGTATTAATGCTATTCAAGGATTTGCGTGATCCGAAGAGAAATCTATAAAATCGAAGTAATAACTATTCAACAAAATGATAACATTTCAACACACTGAATATATTTCATTCACCAAGGCCTGCCAGCTTTCAAGAGCAAATAAACGTTACCGGAGCCTGTAGTACCCATGTCGCGCAAGCCCAATATTTGTGGATAAATAGTATTTGAAAATCAAAACAGTGGAAATGGCTTACCAGTGCCCAGTGCAAATAGTGAATGCTTTATGTTAGTTTGCGGTAAAGTACAGCATGTTTTCTTTTCGTATACCATTTTTACGTTTCTTGACAAAGCTGATTAAGTAACTTGGCATCATGAATTTTGCAATATTATTTGTATTGCTAAGCTATGAAAGGTATTCGTCATTCCAATCTTTTTAAACTTAAATACGTATGACTATTTTTTTCAACATCCCGTCTGGAGAGTATTCCTAATACTTTTCGTCTGATTGTTTCATGGTGTGTAGAGATGACTAAAAAAAAATGTTTACAGTTTATTTTTTTTATCAAAAATGGATTTTTTTTTCATTTTTACGCATTTTTATTTCAATCGTAAATTGCTAATAAATAATAATACAGCTCTAAAGTTGTATGTGAACATTTCACTTTCATGGAAGAATGAAACTGGTGATTTCTTGGATTCTTATCACTTTCCCTCTTCAACAAATCTCTGCTTTTCTTGAAAACTGAATTAGCTGCAAAATGAGGTTACAATAGTGGGATATTCAGATATACTTTCAGAGCTCCACTAATATTTGTCAACAACGTACGATTGAAGAAAAAATGCACAATACATGGATTTTTCAGTCATATGTATACACACTATGAGATAATCTGTTGGAAAAGGATTAAGCATACTGCTCCAAACACGCAGTTGAAAATAGGGTAGCATTCGACCTTAACTCCAAAAAGTGCTTTAAAACTGGTTTATTTGTCAATAGCAGTTATTAGATTCCTGAAAAAATCAGATTGTGTGATTTACACGGTATTTCAAATGGCTAGCTTAATTATAAATTGTATAAAAAGTTGATAGTAGTGCATGATTTTTTGCCAATTAATCATGGCAATGGTTACATTAATTTTTGCCTATTATTTCAGCATTGCTGTGATGCTCTTTCCGATAAATGGTAGACCTGAAGATCCACGAATTTATACAGCTTCATACTACTTATTCACTCTTATTACTTACTAGGGATATAAAATATGAATAAGCTTTTTTCCAAACATCACATGGTATGTATGCTCCTTTCTTCCGCCACGTGTTGCCCGTAGTATTAATGCAGTCAGTATGTATGTAATATGAGATCGGGGAAATTCATGTCATGTCGTAGGTGTTTACAGTTAACTCCGTGAGAAGTGCGAAGGCTAAATTTGAATGTTCGTCCCTTTATGCGGCTGGGGTTTCTTTAATGCATGCAAGACCTCGATTATTGTGGAAGTTCAGTCCACCCCCTCATTCTCTCTTCTTTGGTCCAGTGATTTAAAGTGAAGGTGATTACCTCTACTAGACTTCGTATTGTTAGGACATTTCATAAAAATGTATCACTGTTGTAACAGGATTGTCAAACCAACCCTTACTTGTAAAGATTTTTTAAGGACGTCGATCTAATGTAAAATCGCCGTGTTTCTTAAGAGAGAGTATTCAACCAGATAATGTTTGACCTTTAATATAGTTAATTAATTTAAACCTCCCCCTTTGCTTCTAACAACTTTAGTTCTGTGAAACAAAATGTTGATGAAATTTTTCAGAGGATTTTGTTCCAAGTGGTCAAGGTCGTTCGACTCGAAGTTTAGCGGGAATTCACCCCAACACCTTAAGGCCACGTAAAACTATGACTATCCAAGGAGTCACAAATCCAACTTAATGATAATCTTGTATGGCATCAAAGGTGTAAACAATTTTCGCTCCTAGGATTGCGATTAGTAGTAGTGTGTCTTTTCATCGCAGTCGGAAATTCCACTTTCTATAGTTAAAATCTGCTTGGTGAGAGCAACATCTTCAATTTTTAACTACTGGCTTAAATGCTACCAAAATTTTCAACACTGCCTCCAAGATTGAATTAGGAGAAATAAAGATGTTCAGAAACAAATGAAATTTAGATATTACACTTGCTTGTAACTAAAGTATAGTCGTTTGCTACACAATAAATGCTGTGAAGAATGCTCGCACTTTCAAGAAGGGAACTGAGACTTACATTTTGGTGTTGCAAATACATATCTAGTACGAATAACTAGATGAGCGAAGAACCTGGAGATCTACGAAGCTTGATTTTTGCGTTATCAAGGTAGTCCTCTGTAGCCCTGGCAATATGGGGACGGTCATCACCTTTTTGCAAAATAGGGTTCTCAAGCGTTTGGACAAATGGCAAAAGTACTTCCCGGATACACGGTTGCGCCGTGTTAGCTCGCCTAGTGCAAGCTAGAAGTGATTCAGCACCATCTGTAGTGGTGCCCCAGACCATAGCTCCTACAGTATCGTGCACTTTGCGTTTAACTGAAAGCTTCACATTGCGTCTTTGGGAGCGGAGAATCGAGATTGAGTAAAATGCTATGGTGAAGCATTGTTTTTACTGATGATGTTAGGTAAAGGTTATTTAAGAAATTTACACCGAACCATTTTTTTCAATTTTAACACCCTGTATCTTTCCTCCTGTATATTTCTACACAAGGTTACTACTACTTAAAGTGCGTAAAACTGCGTGAGTTCTAAAAATTGGCTCAGTGGTGAAGGAGGTCAAAAATTAAATGCACGACTCACGTTTCTTGAATGGAGTAAGTAGCATCTGTTGAGGTTGCTACATAAAAACGATATACAGAGCAATACAAATATCACTGACGTCATAATAAGCGCAAGGAGCAATACGTATGGTAGAAAGAGTGCCTCGATTGCAATGCTGCAAGCCTTGGCCTCGTCACTCGGATTGCCACGCAAATTGGTGCTTCTTGTTCCTTTTTCCAAAGTATAATACATTCATTCCCAACCAGCATGATAAATAAAGATCTGCATATATCATATTCGCATATCAAACTGGCAACAGTGGGAAGCTTTGCAACCGCTTGCGGAGCGATGTCCAGATAGGAAAACAAATCAACCTAAACAAAGACATATCGGTGAGAATCACATAACAAGAAAGTTGTCAGGCTTTTCAAGAAGCGTTTTATTTAAACTGAAGTGAGTTGCAACCTTTTAAGGCTTATACAGCTACCATGTGCAAACATGAAGGTGAATCTCGATATTCATCAGGAAAAAGAGTGCAATTATCTTCCAGTGAGGAGTGCTGCAGTGTTGAAATGTTTCTGCCTAGATTTAACAGTTGTAGATAAGGTAAAAATTCAGGGCTAACCCGAGACATCGCAGTTCTTGATCACATGTTCTGGTTGGATGTAGAACCTTGCTCTAGGTAAATAATTAGAAGTATTGTGTGAATAGAATTTGGAATTGTATACTACTGGTTTCATCTTGTCAGTTTGCTACGAATATTTCATTATGCACAGTGATTCAAGAAACAGTTTCAACAGTTCTAGTACAGTCAGTGCGTACAATATCTCGGATTCGCTATATCAACATTGTTGAGGAAATTATAATTTTGAAGGTGAGAAAATATTGTCTTTGAAACGAGTAGAGCCTTACATTTAAAATTTTGTAGGTGTAATACGGATAGTATAGTCTGATCCCTACATATGAAAAAGGGAAATGTTTTCTATTCTGCTGAGATTTCTCAAACATCTGCTGCATTTTTTGGTGAGGTATTTAACATCAATGGTCTCTCTTGGAAAGTGTTCGTATAATTATTTCCTTTTAAAATAATTTGAATAGCCGAGATGAAATACGTATAATATACTTCATTTCGTTCCAGGTTAAAGGGTACAGTGAATTTTGTAACTATTACTATGTATTATACTTTTGAAGTGCTACCACCGTACAACGTCATTCGAGGAATATTGACATTCTACCAGGATTACTGCCATCAGTGGAGAATATCTTAGCAACAACCTTATGAAAGAAACGACGATTTACCTGATAGTCTTGCAATGATCAATGAATTTTTTGGTGTCCGAACTCTAGGCACATGTGGTTTCTGGGCATCGTTCGTCATCCTTCATTTCAAAGTGTTCGATATGTTAAAAGCAGACCAAAACAAGAAAACGCAAATTAATATTGAATCAACTACAATACCCATTATAATTATCAATACACATTAGTGCACTGCGTCCTATCGGCTTAGAAATCAACATGATCTTGATTTAATATTTAAAAGCTCGTAATAAAAACAAGAAACTGGATCCATTTCAGCATTAAATATAAAAATCATTCAATCATCCGAGTTTCTGGTTTGAGGGCTACAATCGGCACAATCTTTATTACTGAAAATCAGGCAAACTATACGCCTATTTCGCAGAAACTAATCTAAGATTGTTTTAGTCCCATAGGCCCTTTTGTTTGGGAAGGCAAGAAATAGATCATACCGAATTTTCATACAAATTAACTGAGACCCATTTTTCATATTATCGGCTTAATATGCAAGGCACACAAGTCCCATACCATTGATTTTAGAGGAGATGAAAAAAACTATCCCATTTCTGAAGTGCATTATATTTTATATCTATGATGATATATTCAAATAAGTCCGAGCGATAAAATCACATAGTAGTTTCCGTTTACAAGAAAATTATTCGCTATCCAACATATAATTTAATACAATCCTGATTCAAAATGGTACTACTCGTATTACCTTATCCTACTGAATCAGAGTTCTACTCTACGCTAAACATGCACAAATATCAAATACTATCGCTAACAATAACAGACATGCATAGACTGCATCCAGACATACCATAACACTGAACTTGTAAACTTGTATGGACTTGTGTGATGTTACTACTGGTCAGAGCAAGGGCAAGCGTTATGTGGAATTCTTGACGCCGAATATGCCGCATACGCATTTTTGCGAGTTATCTGGAATTCTTGGGACATGCGCGTCACATAGTATCAACTAAAAATGCCAATATCTCATTTTCTTCAAAAAGTGGGGTCCCTTAGAACTGCCTTTATGTTTGAAAGGGATATTTTAAGACAACCCTAGATGAAACTTCTATGCCATTTTTATATGTATATTCGGCTCTGAGAGTGTTACCCAATTTTTTGAGTCACTGTATTTCGGAATAAACCTGGAAAGTGACATCAAGCACGCGTAAAATGCATCAGGCTGACCTGGTACTTGAAACGCATTGTAGAAGTGCATTTAACACTTTGGGCACACGAAAATTTTGAGCATCATTGCTGCCCTAACTTCGAAAATATGACAACCTTATGATTATTCATATCCTTTGCTCCTGTCTCGGCCATCACAACCTCAACATCCAAAAACCAAACAACTACCGAAAGTCTTTGATCTGGCCTGGACATGTTATCAAATATCCAAATAATCCAAACATAGGAATAAAGCAAACTCATTTGGAGAGATTTTAAGGGGATATTTCGTGATAATGTGTCTCGAGAAGGATTTACGTTGTGCCAGTAAAAATGTCTTGCATACACTTTTCGTTATTGAAATAGGCATACACATTTTCCATTCAGATATTTAAATGCTGAACAGATGCAAATTTGCTTAGTTTTGCAGCCCCCACGTGATCACAAAATAAATTTTTGGACTTTGTTCAAACAACGAATATCCGAGTTTTTGCTAGTTTCCCGATAGACATTTATGTTTTTTACTCTGATTTTAATTTTTGATATTATCGCATTTTCTAAAATAAAAATAATTTTTTAAAATCTGTTCTACAGGTGAGTAAAGTCATACACCTCGGAATAAATGCTAATCCGATTAGGTACGTTCGTTATTTTATGCTGTAGCAACTAGTATATTCTGGTTACTATTTTTTTAAGCAATTTCATGTTTATTCTGCCGAAAATATAGATAGCAATTAATACTAATCTGGCAATAGACTCGTGTTTTTCCAGCAACTATTTTCAATAAGTGGGAATACTTTGGATATTTTTTTACAAAAATTTCTCTCTAAGTTTAAACAGAGGGTCTGGGAGGTGATGATCTTAGTTTTTCACAAAGGTGCCACTTGTTATTTTCTATGATTATCTAACATTCGACAAAAAAAAAATAAAAAAAATACTATGTTTTGCTTCTCAGAAACCAAGTGAGCGTTGAAACCTTTGCTTTTATTTGGTCCAGGCCGTGCCTTCCAGATATTTCGAAGCACCGCATCATTCCAAGGATT